TAGAGTGTAGACCTAAAGATAGACCGTGACTCGGAACACTCCATATACATTGTGTGAACTTGATTGATTGAATATCACTTCCAACAACGTTGTGTTTCAACAGGTTATGGGGAGGCATGGTTGTGGAAAAAGCCCATGGGGATGAGGACGGTCGAATGAATCCGTACTTGATGCGTTCCTCAATGTGCTCATTCAAGCTCTCCTTCTCCGATTGTGACAACCAATACTGATGCCGGAAGATGGGCGAATCGTTAGTGACCGGGATCGAGAAAGTCTCCCCCCGGACGGTTGTCATCTTAGACATGCTGTGTGAAAACATGTCATGGAATTCGTCCAACAGTTCCTGAAGCTTTCGCTTCCGGTGAGGAGCAAGGTGGTCCCACATGTTCCACTCCGTTTCGCTCGCGTCCTCCTCAGCGACGAGGGGCGGTGGTTCATTATCGGATTCGAACTCGTCCTCATCATCAATGAGAGGTGGCGGTTCATCATCGGGGTTTGCCACATTAGGCGGCTGCTCGCCGTTCTGGGCCGGAGGTAATCCGGTTTTTGGAACTTTCTCCGGAGGCTTCCCTTGGGGCTTCGTGTCAAAAGCTTTTCTCCAAGAGCGCGTTCAGCGGCTCCACTTTGGGTGCATTCTCCTGCGCGGTGTGCCTATTTTCGCTCATGGGCTGCTTCTCGGTAGCTTTCTCCAAAGGATCATGCAGAGGCTTGCCGTTCAAGCGGCTAGCTTTCTTCCCATCTTCATCACGAGGCCACTCTTTCAGGGCTGACTCAGACGGCATCTCAAGGTCTTTTCACAAGAAGCGTTCTCCCGAATTTCACTCGAAGGCCTCGCTTCCGGAGGTTCCCTTGGAGCCGTTTCTTCTGACGACGTTCCTACCTTCCCCCTAGCTCAGGTGAAATTCCTGGGGATGTGCTGGGGTTAGAAGGGGTGCGCAGCTTGCGGTGGCGCAGCAGGCCAGCTTGTACGAACGTGGCAACCTGTTCTGGCGTGACAGTGCCGTCGTCTATCAGGTCACAGCATTCGGACTCGACTGCATCGCCGGGCAACCCGTCAATCAGTGAAAAAGGCTGCATGAAAGCAGTGGATGCTGCCAATCAAAAAGTGGAGGCTGTGCATGTCCATTGTGCTTTTCAAAACCCGTCGCCGGTCAGCCTCGGAGATGGAGGGACAGACGTGAGTGGTCCCGTCCATAAAGCCCATAGCGCGCTTGCGTTCCAGAGCGATGGGTTCTCCCAGGAGCCGTCAGCTTTCTGAATCATGCTCTGCTGTCCGAACTGGTATGCATGAGAGCCGAACAGTCACGAACGTCGACAAAGCGCGAAGCGACTGACCAGGCACATACACGGAGTGCCGGCCAGGAGCATAATTGTGCTTGGCGTACTGGGCCTTACGGCCTGGCTCCAAGATGCGCTGTACATATTGGTCAGGATCGAGGTGCTTGAACTTCTTTTCACCATCTCATTCATGAGTTTGGACGGCACCAGATTGGTCCACCAGCGGCGTAGACGGTGGGTATAGGAACCGGCAGCGACCGCGTCAAACGCGAAGTCGTGACCTAGAACCTTTTCACAACATTGTTGAATTCGTCTCGAACGTCGTTCTGCGGGTGATCGCTTGCGTCGACGTTTTCGAACTAGTAGGCGCAGGGTCTTCTTGGCCAAATCTCGTTGATGAGATGGACAAGTCGGACGGCCTCCTCAAAGAGGACGGTCCGTGTATCGCGCAGACCAAGTGAATGATCCGCGGGGCGGGAGAATCCGTGGCAGGGAAATCCCGCTACTACGAGATCGGGCCGTTCAAGGTCGGCCACGTGTCCTCCGCTGATGTGTCGTACATCCTGAGGCGGCTGCTCGACGTCATTGATGGCGTCAACGCTAAGCAGCTGAGGATAAGGCGTATGCAGGACGGCTAGTCGCCTCACAGCAATCTTTCTGATCTTAGCGTCCAATTCGCAGGCATAAACCTTGCGGTTAGTAATTCCTTAGCGTAGCAGTGCTTCGGTTTTGGCCATGAGGCCCGAGAACAACTCCAGGACCGCCAAGCTCGTTCGGGTGCGACTAGCTTGTTTTTCAGGTCAACCAGATCTTGGCTCAGGGCCGCAGATGCTGGTATGCGGGGTTCCGAATCTTTGGAGGGGCCCTATCTGGAGTGGCCAGCACCGCATGCTTCGGTGAAGGATCTCGATGAACTCTGGCAAAGCCTTCGCCTGGAAGGTTGCGATGCGGCTGCGAGCGAACTCGATGTCTTGCGCATTGCGCGAACTCGGAATCCGAGATATCACGATGCCAACGAGGGCTCGAAGCACCTGGCCGCCTGGATTGGCGTAGTCGACCGGAAACTTGGCGCGCAAGAAGCGCTTGCGGGCCGCATGTTCGTCTCCCTCCAGGTAGTATTTGACGTGCTTCTTACTGATGCTGGGGTCAAGATCCACGGGCCCAATGATACTTATACCGATTATTGTGTCGGATTATTGTGTCGGCGGCCTGCGGGTTTACAATAACCACGTGCGCCATGACAGGGACTTCGTCGGCGGTACCACGGTTTAGCACAAAGCTGACTAGCTCCTTAGTTCGGCCGAATCGCTCGGTCAAGTTACCGGTAGCGGTGCGGATCATGATGGCAAATTCGGAGCGATCATGTCGGGTGTGATACCCAAAGTTGCAGCGCCTGAGCGACCAGAGATTACGGCCTCGGCTCCGCTGTCCAACAGTAAGTTCTTCAGCGCGCGTCCATTGATCAACATCGCAGGCTTTAGCCCTGAGCTATCAATGCGCGGCGAGCGGTGGAACCGGGCCGCTTTGTCGCTGTGATTGCTTCTTGGCAAGTGGCTAAGGAGCGCACTGATGTTTGGGTTCTCTGTATTGTCAAGCTTGGAGAGGTAGCAAGCGTGGCCCGAGGCTTGCCTTGGCGCGTCGTCGCAGTCTCCTGCTCAAGTGTCAGCGCGGGCTGTGACGCACTTGCTGCGTACACCATGCCCTGGCGCGCGGGTGCATCTGCCGTCAGCTCAATGAAGCTGGCTGGCAGGGTGTCATCAATGACAGTGTTACGCGCAGGCGGCAGTGTCTCGAGGGACGACAGCACAGCCTGGGCGCGTTGGTCGGACCAAGAGCAATCTCAAGTTGTAGCATCTGGATGGGGACAGACTCTAGCGCAGCGCGCGCATCCGGCTCAGCCTCAAGGACAGGGACCATACCCTTTGGTACTGTCGTCATTCCAGGCGGCTGTTTATGCGGCTCGCGCAGGAAGTCCTTTGGAATGAAGCTGAGCGGCATGTCGGACAACGGTCCTCTGAGCCTCTCATCCTTGTCCACAACCCTCTTGGTAAGTCGTGAGTGCACCGGCGCAACATGGGCGCCTGGCACAAAAATGATCACAACCTTGCAAGCATTCGGGTCATGATGAGCCTCTCAGAGCTCCTTGAGCTATGCCAAAGTATGCTCATGCATGCGTCGGCTGTTCGTAGCGGGCGCTTGTGCAACTCGAGCAGCAGTGGGCCTAGCCCTCTTAGCGCGCGGAGCCGCTCTGCAATCCGCTGTCTTATGCAAATCCAGTCTGTGAATATCGCACCAAATCCAAGGTGCGCCAAGTCAATTGACCTCAGCTTGCTTGTCTGTGCACTGCGCGGCCATGTGGCCGTACTGTAGGCAGTGCCAGCACTGAACCCCTTCGGATCCTTAGAGCTGGCCCTACCATCGGTACGAGCCGAAGCTTCCCAAACTATTAGCGGCTAAGTGCAGTGGTGTCATATGTGACCCGCCTCTCCGCGCTTGTGACATATGATGGACCGGTGATCGTCCTTGGGATGTGCATGATCATGCGAGCCATCCTGCCTTCGGCCGTTTGGCCTTGCAGCCGACGCCGGCTGTGTGGTTGCATGGCGCGGCTGCGCAGTCTTGGGCTGCATATTGGTCGTCCACAGGCTGGCCTGAGTCGTGGCGCGGTCAATCTTAATTGCAACCCGGCCCACGAGCTCGATGGTCCATTACTCAGGCTCCATGGCTGTGGCGTTCAACTGGCGCGTGGCTTCCTCGCCCAAGTGGCGGGGCATAGCTGCTATGAGCTTGAATACGGCCATCTTTTCAGGGCGGTCGAGAGCATGCTTCAGCGACTGCATGCGCTGCACCAGGCTAGCAGTAGTCTCCTCGAAGCGTCGCGCAAAATAGCGGAATTCATCCATCCGAGTTGTCGACTTCTCTGAATAAAGCTTTTCCATCATAGCCCAGGACTTCACGACCGGCTAGTCATACCTCTGCGTCTACATTCGGCTCCGGCCGAACCGGTTCGGTCGCGGTTGCCTTAGCTTCGGACGACAGAGCATCATACTCGGTCTTCGCCCTCTCATATATCGCCTTATTCTGAAGATATAAGCTGGATTGAGCAGCGTTTCGGGTGCACAGTTCCTCGCGCATCTCGCGCTCGAGTGGGCGGCCTGATCGCGCGCCCCCCCGGCTAAGAACTTCATGAGCAGGATAAACCCGTCATTATCGTTGATTAGCTCAGAATTCGGCTTGAGCTTGAGCTCCGTTTTGAGCGTCGCATAATTCGGGCGCAATTGTAAGATACTCGGGCGATCCGGGAGTCCCATAAAGAGTCCCGTACCATGCTGTACATTCCGTAGCGACATGGTGTTTTGTTCGGCTACATCAAACGGCTCGACAAAGGCGGGCGCGCCTGTCGGCAAGTATGATGCACGCACAAGTTGCGGTGCAAAAGTCAGAGTGCCCGGATTCGTGCAATGATTCGCGTGGCGAATAAGTAGTCGGACTCGAACTACTGCTTTGATTCTAATCAATGTTATCAAGCACGATATCACTGTCGAGTCCAATGTTCGGGTCACAATGTGGAAACAGAGGACCACTACACAGATTGTATCTTTAACTCATGAACGAGAAGGTCACTAATCTGCTCTTCCCGAACTCAACGACTAATTAGCAGGTCGCGGCCGCCACCTCGATTAGGGGCGGAACCATGGCCACCACCACGGCTAGGGGGCTGCCCACGGCCACCTCCACGAGTAGAAGGGTGCCCACGGCCGCCACCGCGGAAGAACGAGGGGCCACGGCCGCCACGTCCGGATGATCCTCCCCCCCGCGTGGGAAACCATGGTCTCCGCGGTTGAGAGCGACAGGACCTATAAGAGAGACGTGCAAGTGTCAGTCTTATTGGAGTAAGACTTTCAGACAGGCACGGCCTAAAACGGTTGAAAGTGTAAACTTGAAGAGGCTCAAGCTGTAAGACGAAGCACTTGTCCAAAATTGATCTCTCCGCAGCGAACCATTCTAATCTAGAACTTCGTGCCAGTTACTTGACAAGTTTCGAAGTCCTCAGTTGGTAGGAACCAACGGTGAAAGGTCGCAAAAAGCACCTAAGGTTGGAATTCGTGCCTGAAGGGCCTACTTGCGTAGCGCAGCGTCAACTTGACCTGGCTGTTCAGCTTTGTTCGAGACCTGAAGGGCCTCCAACTCACCAACTTCGGACCACTGGTCGCCAGCCGAATGGCACCAACGGGTATCACTACTCAAACCGACACTCATGGTCGCGCTTCGCACGTGTTAAAATCTACCTAGTATTAAGTGACTGAATCAGTGCATCGGGGCTTGGAGGAAATTGAGGGATTTACGCCAGGGCTTGCCACATCTTTTACGTTTTCGTTATGTGAATCATTCTAGACAATTTGTCTCTGAACGCTAAGTAAAAATCTGTGGCTAAGTCCATTGCCGCACACAAGTGCATCTACTCTTCAATGCGACGAATAAATGTTTGGGAGCGGCGAGCGTGAAAAATCTTCTATGCTCAAGTGAATACTATCTTGAAAGCAAAATTGTAAGAATGAGAGTCCTTGAAGCAATTAGCTTCTATGTACACGCAGCTAGTCTTGCTAATGCTATGCAGTCTACCTAGTGGAATCAATACACTAGGTGACTAAGCTCTGTCCTCGAGGCGTCGAGGCTGCAGCAGATCGGGCGTAGATTCGTTCGTCCATGCATTGGCCGGTTGTCGACAATACATCATCGTGACAGCTGGGCCGGCCGGGACCCTAGGTAATGATGCCGTGCCAGATGCGCTGGCGCGGTACGCACGGGTATTATCCCAGTCCCTGCAAATAAAGCCATGTGGTCACGAGCAATCCGCTTGAAAGCTTTTAAACGTTGATTCTGGCTCCGCTGGCAGTGAGCACGTGATATCTCTTCTGACTCGATAATCAATGAACTCATGGTCGCCCTTCGCACATGTTAAAATCTAAATAATCTGAGGTGACTGAATCAGTGCAACGGGGCTTGGAAGAAATTGTGGGCTTGCCACATCTTTTTACCGCAAGCAACCTGAAGTCGTTTGGTAGAGGCAAAAACCGTGCGCGATAGACGCCTTCGCGGTTTGCGGCGTACGCTCGTACTCACGGCGATTTTTGCTAACAAAATCGCGATTTTAGAGTATTTACGAACATATTTGGCATGGTCGGTGTCAAATGTGGGCCAAATTCGACGATGTAAAATGTTGGAGTTCACGGGGAGGGCTTATAATAGAGGTTGACCGCAGGATTTGGTCAATTATTCTTTTCGATCGACCTATGGCCAAACATTTGGCCGCAATCTGACTTTTGCCCCATGTACGGGCGATTTCGACCTCCGAGAACGGCGAAGTCCCGAAAATTTTCACTGAAACCAAAACCGCCACGTACGACTCGCCGGCGGTAAATTTAAATTCACCGCCGTGCCCGACTCGAACAGATAACGAAGGAATTACCGCGAACATAAAAGAATTTCCGGGTTGCTTGTGACGTTTTCGTTATGAGAATCATTCTAGACAGTTTGTCTCTGAATGCTAAGTAAAAATCTGTGGCTAAGTCCATTGCCGCAAAACTCAGACTTCGCAATATGCGAAGTCAAGTCTCCCCCAAGCAACCGTGCTGAATGGCGGCGGATATTGACGACGTCACAATGACTTTCTGTGTGGAAGAAATAACGAGATAGATGAGGTACGCGTCGGAACGCCAATCACCCTAAAATTGAATTGATTCAGCAGGTACGCCGAGGGAAAATGCAAATGTGGCACCCCTGCGGAGAAAGCTGTGGTCAGAATACAAAGTCGAATCGATGCCGATTTGGGTGGACGAGCGACTTAAAACGAGCTACGAAAACCTGGTGAGTAAGAGTTTTAATCGAGAACCTTCGGGCGCCAAATAGCTGAACGCATGGGCGTCAGCGGGCGCGCGAATCGCGGCGTAGAGTTGCCACAGGGCCTGAGTCGGGCACAAATCGGAGCCAACGGTAGCCGAGAGGGGGATACGCAATTCGCGCTCAAACAATTGAAGGGTTTGGTTTGACGAACAATAACCCAGGCCACACAACCGTCGGGAGCCAATTTGAAATCACACTGACGGAAAAACGTGACTTTTTCGAATAGCTGGTGCGCGTCAATCGTGACGTTGCCCTTTCGAAAGGAACCGAAAAAGGCAACCGGCATCGCTGCAAATATGGCCAATTCGGCAGGTTTGTAAAATCCATCAGAACTGCAAACCGAGCAAGCATCGCTGGGGTGACCGCAAATTTGCGATTAACTGAATCTCCTTTGACCCGCCGAATCCCACGCAAGCACCGCTCTAAGTTGAATTTGTTTTGAGCGGGTTAGGAAGGTTCAGCTTCCGGTGCACAATGCGCACACCATGAAGACAATTATCAATCGTTTAGGCAGCCCCGAATCCTCGAGCATCGCTCGGACCTTCGCCTCCAATTGCCAATCGAGCCGCTCTGCCGACCCGTCCTGCTCGGCCGTGTAGGGGCGGTCTTCTCGTGCACCGTCCCCTTCCCCCGATCCGCCCGCACTGACCTGAGCTTCTTGCCGGATTGCAACTCCAACCAGTTAATCACGTGCTCGGTCACCTTGGCCACCTCGCTCTTCTGCTTCATGCATGGGGACTACTGTTGAAACACAGCGTTGTTGGAAGTGATGTTCAATCAATCAAGTTCACACAATGTATATGGAGTGTTCCGAGTCACGGCCTATCTTTAGGTCTACACTCTAGCCAAATAGGCTCAGTGGACCGTCACCTAGTAAGTCCGAAAATTTCACTCTATACCGTACATCTACGGCCATTATCGAACCTACACAATATCGACGGTTATC